TGAACACTACACAGTAAGATAGAAACGAAGATCCTCTGGAATCTCATTCACAAACCATTTACAGATAGTCCTCATTTACTGGCTACAATTACTTCAATGGCCCAGTCATTTAAGTTGCTAAGTGAACAAGAGAGACACTGCCATTTCATTCAAATAGAGTTCTCCCATGCAGTGCTGTGTACTTGACCTATTTTCTCCCCCCAAAACCCTTTTTCTTGGATGAAAAGAGAAACAACTTCAAGGAAAACAAAGAAAGTCCTGTTGCCTTTTGAAAAAGCACAACCTGGATATGACTAAGAATCTCCATAGACATCTTACTGGGCAGGCATTGTGTCTTTAAAAAGTGCTAACTGCAAATTAACAAGCTCAGCTCTGTGATCTTAATTAGTTAATTAGAACCCTTCTCCAGGTTAGCAGCTGCTGCCTGAAATTAACTAGACTGTAATCAGTTTCATACTGAAGGCTTTTGTTGTAAATGTGCATTGGTCAGAAAATGATTTTTATTACTATAAGAATACTAATTATATGTGCAGACAGTTGTTAAATGATAATTACTTGTGTTTATTACAAACTTCATATTGTTTTTTAACCTGAAAATAATTTTATGGTGGCTTACAAGTATATACCGTGTTTCTCCAACAATACAGCCTCCCCCAATAGGAAGTCCCAGCATGTTTTATAGGCATAAAATCAAATTAAGCCCCTCTCCCCAAATTAAGGCCTATATTAAACATGTGAAATGGGGAGGAATGGCGGGGGGGGGCTTGCCGTTAAGAAGTACTTTTGTTGCATATCCGGATATGGTGCTGCCTGCGTTGACTTCGGCGTTGGTGGAGCACTTCGTATTGGGAGACCTTCTGCCACTGTTGCTTTCCCTTCTACCCGTGCTGGTGCGGCATTTAGAGCAATGTCGTGGTGTTTGGCGCAGCCATGCACGGCCACCCAGGGCTCCTCCCTGAAACTGGAGCCCGGTGGAGACACTCGGCTTCAGGCGCTCCTGTCGCCACCTTCCCTTCGCCTTCGAAGGCAAAGCCAATTCTTTTAAAAACAACGCCCTACTACCAGTACAACAAAGACTCCCCTGCCCGAGAGGGCAGCCCAACCCCATGTTGGGAGGCGAATCTCCCAGGGTTGCAGCGCAGGATCGGCCCACCTGGAAGAAGCGCCCAGCCGCCATCCCTGCCTGGCGCTGGGCAAAGCGTGAAGAGCTTCACCTGGGGCGCCCAGCGCAGCTGACAGGCGGGCCCTCTTGCCCGGTGGTGGAGCTCTCGCCAAGGCAGCAAGCACCTCCCCGCTGGACCCTCCGCTCACCCTGCCAGGGCTGCGCCAGAGCCCTGCGGGCTGGGCAGAGCCGGGAAAGTGAGCTGCAGGTGCATGCCTGCCTGCCAAGCGAAAGAGCCGGGCTGATCCGAGCTTGGCTTCCTTCCCAAGTCTCTCCAGCCCAAACCTGAAAGGGCCACCGGGAGAGGCTGCCCGAGGCAGTGATAACGCCCACCCGTCCGCGGACAGGGAGGTGAGGTGACAGCAGCACTGCTTTCCTGGCCAGTGGGTCCAGCGGAGGGAGCCCGAAGCTGCCCGTCCTTTCCACCCCTCGCCCATCCCATCCCCACGCAACTCCAAATGTGCCAGCAGCTCCAAACACTGCAGTGGCACAGGCATCGGGCAGAGGCGCTCACTCAGCGGGGCTCAGCTTGGAGGACGCGGCGCAGGCCATTGCCTTGCCTTCCTGTCCACGGATAGGTGGGCGTTATCACTGCCTCGGGCGACCTCTCCTGGTGGGCCCTTTGAGTTCAGGCTGGAGGGACTTGGGAAGGAAGCCAAGCTCGGGTCGGCCTGGCTCTTTTGCTTGGCAGGCGCGCACGCACCCGCGGCTCGCTTTTCCAGCTCTGCCCAGCCCGCACGGCTCTGGCGCGGCCCTGGCAGGATGAGCGGAGGGTCCAGCGGGGAGGTGGTTGCTGCCTTGGCGAGAGCTACGCCGCCGGGCAGGAGGGCCCGCCTGTCAGCTGCGCTGGGCACCCCAGGCGAAGCTCTTCACGCTCTGCCCGGTGCCAGGCAGGGATGGCGGCTGGGCGCTTCTTCCAGGTGGGCCGATCCTGCGCTGCAACCCCGGGAGATTCGCCTCCCCACATGGGGTTGGGCTGCCCTCTTGGGCAGGGGAGTCTTTGTCGTACTGGTAGTAGGGCGTCGTTTTTAAAAGAATTGGCTTTGCCTTCGAAGGCGAAGGGAAGGCGGCGACAGGAACACCTGAAGCCGAGTGTCTCCGCCAGGCTCCGGTTGCAGGGAGGAGGCCTGGCTGGCCGTGCATGGCTGCGCCAAATGCCACGGCGTTGCTCTAAATGCCACGGCAGCATGGGGAGAAGGGAAAGTAACGGTGGCAGAAGGTCTCCCGATACGAAGTGCCTCACCAACGCCGAGGTCAACATCCAAGCCGTCGCCGCCCGCCCGCCCGAGGATGCAAGGGGGTGGATTAAGTCACCCCCGAAAAGACGGCCCAGCCTTATTTTGTGAGAAACACAGTAGTCATAAACAAAAACATAAAAACAATAAATATTTTAAAATGAATGCAATAATTACCAAAGATCTCTGTATTAATATATTTAAATGTATGATACAATATAGATAGATAGAATACTTTCTTGGCCAAGTGTGATTGGACACACAAGGAATTTGTCTTGGTGTAAATACTCTCAGTATACATAAAAGAAAGATACATTCAATACTTTGAATTGTTGGCATCTTGTCAAAATAGCTCATAATTTAACAATGTGGCTATATGTTGTCATGTTTGGAATAAGGAGATCAAGCATATCATGCGCCTAATTTAAATGGATGCTTCTGGCATTTGAATAGATTTATTTATTTTTAATTAGAACATTAAGAAAAATACTTTCTATGTTATTTGTGTTCTATTCTTCTGCTGACACAGTCCCAGAAGAGGGCCCCTGATAAGTTAACATTGTCAGATTGAATAACAATTTGCTGTTGTGAGCAGTCACAAGACTGGTTTCATCCAGCATGCCGAGCCATTAACCAAATTTGCAAACCATAAAAGTTGGGTTCACATATGACACTCAAGTAAACAGAAACCATGTAATGGCTTAGCACAGCAATCATACTCTTTCTGGACTGTTCTGATGTGGAAGAACTTAGTATAGGCACATTCACAGAGTGATTGGCATGATGGGTGTGTCCAATTACAAAACACCCATTTACCAGAGAACCTGGCTACACCATTTTCTAAGGTTGTTGCTGTTTTTGCACAGATCTCCTTAGTGTTTTTCTTCCTACCTTCCCATTTTTGGATTCACCTGAGGACTTCCAAATTCTTAAAAGAAAAATATATATGCAAATCTAAGAACTACAAAATCAATGCAGGATTAGTTGGTCAATCTCTCTTTGTTCTTGCTTCAGAAATAGTCTTCAAGAAATCCAGTGCTTCTTTTCAAGAGATCTGCAGTTCAGTTTGCAGTGTGAGAAGACCCACAGCGACAACTATCCCAGCTGCCTCCCACAACTTTGCTGTCTCACTGCATTTATTCTCAGCCAAGGCCTATGAATTCATGAGGAAAACTTTCCTACTGCCAGAGCCAACTATCTTGCACATGATGTGTGTAATTCTTATACTTTTTTCTTTCCCCCAGACACTGGGGGAAAACCACTTCAAAACCATCAAGGTGTTTTAATGTTAGAGAGAAGAGGACGAACTCTTGGATTCTCTTTGCAAGCTTTTCCCTCAGAAGAATGCTTGACCACTATATTCAGACATGATATCACATTCAGATGCGAAATAGGAAAACCTAACATCTCTCTTTTGGAGGAGGGAGCATCAGGAACTTGTCGAATCTATTCAAAATCAAGAGGCCAAACTTCAAAAATAATCCTCCTCCACAAATCTTTCCTGAAAAAGTCTTAATTGAAAAAACAACAACCATTAGATAAGTCCTTGAGAGGTAGGAATTGCAATTCTGGAAGCAAGCTTATTACTAACCCAGTGTTAATAATCATGTGGATATTCTGATTTCATAGTCCCAGTTTTAGGACAGTAGAAGAGGGCATAAAAAAAAGAGGGCTGTGAAAATATTTACAGACCCCTCACATCCCAGACATAAACTATTTCAACTCTTTCCCTCAAAATGACGCTATAGAGCACCGCACACCAGAACTAGACACAAGAACAGTTTTTCCCCGAATGCCATCACTCTGCTAAACAAATAATTCCCTCAACACTGTTCAACTATTTACAAAGTCTGCACTACTATTACTATTAATCTTCTCATCACTCCTTATCACCCATCCCCTCCCACTTAACTTTGTCGCTTGTATCCTTACGATTTATATTGACTGTTTCCTAGTATGATTTGTTTGCTTATTGTACCCTATGACTATTATTAAGTATTGTACCTTATGATTCTTGACTCTTGACAAATGTATCTTTTCTTTTATGTATACTGAGAGAGCATTTGCACCAAGACAAATTCCTTATGTGTCCAATCACACATTCCTTGTGTGTCCAATCACAATTCTGTTCTGTACTGTACTGAACAATACTATACTATACACTATACTATGCTATCTTGCAAGAGACCATGAAGACCACTATATCTATCATCCTATTTTTGCTATAAAGATATTAGTTTATCAAATGTGATTACCGAGGTTCATCTTTAACCATGCTGGGGGAAAGTCCTATTTTTTAGGGTGAAATAGTGGGCTTTGATTTTTGATAACGTCTCAGATGGTTTGTCTCCTACATCATAGGTGCTACTCATCTTAGCTGGTTCAATTGATGAACTCCTGAGGTACTATAAATAGATTAGTCATAAAGTAAACCTATCCACATCATGAGTCTATGTGACTTCAATACTCCACATCATGAGTCTATGTGACTTCAATACTAATACCATATCTAATTCTGGAAACTTAAACAGGTTCTGTTAGGCAAGGAGGAAGCTTAGCATAGGACTGCTGACAAGAATGAGATAAACAGCTGAATGAAAATAACACTGTGCTTGAACTTTACTGTAATAGATGCCCTCCCCTTGAAAACCCACCAGCTTGGGCTTTAAACTTTTCAATATATTTGGCAAGGGAGGTATTTTGTGTCAGAATTAAACATGGCACTCACCGTTTTCTGTCCTATGCTTCCTCAGTTATGCAGATGGCTTTCAAATTTGGATTATAAACCAAAATTCACCCAACAAGCCTTCAATGTTCGGCAGAGAGACCTCAAGCAGGGAAACTGAGCTTTCAAGTGGTGTGCTCTCCTTCTTGGCACAAGGCCCTTAGAGATACGAATCCATTATTAACCTTCCATCAGGCATTTGGAAGGCCTGGTGGATGTGGGTGCTGAGAATTATGATGCTAATGAGATACCAAGAGCAGCAGAAGCCCTGTTGTTGGATTTCAACGTCAATGGATTGTACCACTTCACTACTTCCTCCTTGCCACCGTTACAGGCCCAGCTCCTGCACTAATGTATCCTCAAACTCTATGACATCAGTGTGTGCAAGTAATCTCTGTGACATCCGATGCCATAGAGCCTAATATAGATACAACCAGACAACTGGGAGGGAAGGTGGATGGGTCTACTGTCAAGTCCACTTTCCTTTATTCAGCCACCCCAACACTGGAAATTGAATATTACAGTACTTTAACCCCTAGCCATTTGTTATCCGATTCACAACTTGTTACAAGCTCATGGCAATTTTCAAATGAATGGCAAAGCTGTCAGCGGGGAATGTATTCTGCATCTTGGTGCTCTCCAGGAAAAAGGAAGTGTGCCAAGCTGGAGCCAACAGGCAGGAGCAGCAGATATGGGGAAATGGCATAACGCAGGTGTTTAGTCCAGTACAAGTCCTGCATTTTGCAGCCAGACTAGGCCGGCCTCAGTTTCGTGGTCACGAAGCCACCATCTTCTTTATAGAACTGCGAGTGCTGTTTTTGATGCATGCAGCAGCTGCAACGCCCATGGGGAGGGCCTCAGAGCACCACTGTCCCTCTACCAATGCTGTCACTTTTAACAGCCTCTGCAATGAATATGAGAATCTGCTTCACAAACTAGGCACAACTATTGGAGAGCTACTGTGGCTAAGCAATCATCACTGGGGATTTTTTGGCTTTCTGTTGAACTTGTGGATGATGCAAAAACTCAACTACTGGCAGAAGACAAACCCATCACTTGTCTGCTTTCTGGTTGGTGGATTCTGGATCCCTTAGAGCAGTGATCCCCAACCTTTTTTATGCCGCGGCCCGGTACCGGCATCAGCTGGGCACCGCCATCTTTTTTTGATGAAAAAGTGCTTCCGGTGAGCTTTCTACCCGGAAAAGCTCACCGGAAGCACTTTTTTATCAAAAAAAGATGGCGGCGCCCAGCAACCAGCGGCCCGGTAAGACTTGTTCCGCGGACCGGGACCGGTCCGCGGACCGGCGGTTGGGGACCCCTGCCTTAGAGTGGTATTTGGGGGGGGCATAAGACATGCATGGGGCCACAGAGATATTACCACCCCAGGGGAAAATCCAAAGTGCACATAAGCTTACCTTGAACAGAACTGTTTCCAGTCTGAGCCTTGACTCACCCACCCTATCTTTATGCAGACAAAGTCGTTTTACAGTTGCAAGCCTCTTAGCCTCTGGGCAAATACGGCTGTTGCCCTGGGGTTCAAAGCTTCTCCTAAAGATGGACAGTATCATATTATCCTTTCATACTGAACTTGAGAAGGATATAACTACTTCTCTTGCTTGTGCAATTTTGAGAAAACCGCTGCCAGTCCTGCCCTGTGCTAAGTGTTGTGCTCCACTCCTGAGCCCTTGTAAAGAACTGCCTGTAGGCAGCAGTGCATTGATGTGTGTGAAGAGCCAGGGGAGTGACTACCTCCCATCGAATGCTGTGCAGAGTGATTTACAGAGCCAAGCAAGTGATTGGCCTTTCTCCCTGGTTCTTCCAAGGCTCCAGACCATCCGATTGCTTAGCACAAGAGTGGGCTATATTGGAATATGTGAGTGAAGGAACCTAACCTTTTCTCATCCCTGAATAATCATCCCTTTGGAAGCAGTTCTCAGGTTTCCAACCCTTATGTCATTCTGCTGCAGCAACTTGTGCAAACCTTCCTAGAGCTGTGGTTTCAAGGTAGAGCAGAGCACAGACGATGCCTTTGATTCGTGAGTGTAACTGCGTGAAAGAGATGAACAATAAACAGAGCGGAGAAGTTGCCAACAGCAGCAGCAGGAGTTGGCCCGAGGATCTACTTGGGCTCATGAAATGGTACCAGGCCATCTGGAGGAGATGGGATGGAATTAGAGAGAATATTAATACATAGGAAATTCTGAGGCAGCCTGATGATTAAAAAAAACCGTGACGAACAAAGCTGAAACTATGAAGAGCATTTCTAAAACCAATCCTTCAAACAAAATACCATGTTTGGTATTTGAAGAATGTAATTACAAGGCTTACAGCTTAAGAGTTTCTGTTGTTCAGTCAGAGGCTACTATATGGTCCCTAGACAAACATTTTCTCCTCTCAGTAGCCTCTCTGTGTCATATTATTGTGAGCTTTTACAGGTTTAACTTGGAAATGACAGCTTGAGAGTTTATTTTATCGTGATAAAATGGGTGATTGTTTAGGAATGAAAAAGCAAGCAGCCCATCCTGGTCACGTGGTTCAAGGTGGAACCTTGCGGGAAGTATTTGATCAGGCCTCCTGATCTTTGATGAAGTGGGAAATGACCTTTGGATTTTTGTAAGATGACCTTTGAATTTTTGTCTGTTTTTTTATACATTTGTTTTTTGGAGTCAAAATTCTATTACTGCATGTTTTACTGTAGCCCTGCTATTTATCAGCCTGGAATCAAGGACCCGGAAGGAAGGATGTCAATGATTGTTCAGAAGTATGGAACAATTTTCCCCTCAAGTCAGAAATGAAACTTGATCCGTGTAGCTTGTCCAACAGCTCCAGAAAATATGCTTCTATTTGTTGATGCGTGGCAGCCTCCCCATGGGCACCCGGAATTGTGATAAACAACAAAAGCATTTTGTAGATAAGAAAATCCTTCCTGCTAGCAGCATAACTGCTAGCGGGAATAGTGATATTCTTAATGTAATGTAAATATTTAGTTCCTATCAAAGCACAGATCTGGGAATTTATTTTTAGGCAACACTGAGGAAAATCTGAATTAAACAGAAATCTGAATGAGAGATCCTGTGTTTTTCTACACAGTTCAACAATGGAGTTTGGTGAACCTCTGGGGAGATTAGTTTTTTTTAAAAAAGGTGCCCTAATCTTTCCCTTGCAAGATTTTTCTTCTTTACCCATCCTACGATCGACCTGCGGTAATAAAGCTGAGGCAGCAGCCCAAATTAGAGCACAGATCATCTGACATTGGTGTTGATTGTGGAGAAGCAAAGTCCAGCACCAAGTGTGGAGGCCTTTCATACAGGTCAGCAAACAAGACAGGAATGCAAGATTATTTGTTCCAACAGCTGTGCTTTTAGGATTTTGGCAAGCTTGCACGCGTGGCAAAGTTTCAGTGATGTAATTTAATGTGTTGGCAGAGCAGGCATAGACTACAGCAAGAGGTCTGGACAACTTTGGGCAAGGCTGCAGTGGCCTCAAGCTGAAGCAGTTTGCTGGCAACTAATATCAGTGAAATATTATCTGAGCCTGAGGGTTGAGTTCCAGACTTCAAATTGGTACGTGCTCTGGAGTGCCTTAGCTTCCTTGGAGACTCAGTACAACTGAACGTTTTCCCCAGTCAAGTACAAAAACTTTCCCAAGATTCACAAATGCTTTCATCCAGCTGGGGACAGCTGACATAAGTCAATCAGCAGAGACCTGTGTTTCTTCAATGATCGAGCTAAGCAAGTTGCCTTAATTGAAGAATATCATCCCAACAACGATTAGACCAGGGGGTCTTCAAACTTGACAGCTTTAACACTTGTGGACTTCAACTCCCAGAATTCCTCCTCCAGTCATGTTAGCTCAAGAATTCTGGGAGTTGAAATCCACAAGTCTTAAACTTGCCAAGTTTGAAGGCCCTTGAATTAGACAATGACTAGCATTAGATTGGAACGAAGGTCAGATGAAGTGACAATCGTGGCAAAAGCAAGTAATGACATCAATTATGCATATCATTATCAGAACCACTTCATGAGACAGTGGGTTATTTTGGGGGGGGAGGGGGTTGATAGTGAGAAAGAGCACTGCATTTTCGCCACCGCGAGATGGTTGCACTGGGTTAGCTGTGGTGAGTTGTCCCTGACAAGCTGTCTCATTCCAAAGTCAGAATGTCAAACTGAATTGGAATATTCGAAATAAGCTTTTGCTGAAAAGCTGAATTATTCCTTAATAATAGGACTAACCACATCTGTGATACAAAAATTCAGGCAGTAGATAGAATTAGTGACTTGTGAGTTTTCTGTTTCTCTTTGTTATCATCCAGCAATCATCTGAGGTTCTGCATCCCTGATATAAAAATAATCCAACCAGGGCTTGCTCATTTGGTTTCACTAAAATGTTTCTAAATTGTCAACTTTCAATATGAATATATTCAAATCATTTGCTGCATTTCATTAAGGATGTAAAGTAGGTTACATATTTTAAATTGTATTTGAAATCATTAAGGCAAATACTGTATTATTTGATCCAGTATTTACATTTAAAAGCAATTATTATTTAAATACTACAGAAAAAAAAAAGCTTAAAATGAATTTACTATCTTACAGTACATAATTATGCTTGAATAACTTATCCCTCAACTATGACACTGGGTCAAAATTTAACTTCCTAATTTTGGGTGTGGGGAGTAATAGTTTGCATGGCTTGTTCTAATTCGTGCCAGTAATGAAGGGCATTCAGTTAAGGCGGCTCTATAATTTTGATCTAGGAGTAATTTTAAATTATTCTTCCAAATTTGTTTTTAAAGCAATAGCTAGGAGGACAATATTGAATTGACTGCAATTATGTTAAATTCTCTACCCTGCCCAACCCCAAATAGATATTTTCCCTCTTTAAAGAATCCTTTCCTTTCCATTCTTCTGCAGTACACAGGAGATTCAGAAAATGTTACATTTCTTTATTAGAAAAAAAAAATCAGCATATTTCTAGATGTTTAAAATGAAGCACTGGTTACAAGAAAAGAATATCCCCGGAAAGGTCCAGATTATTTCATTTGTTTCTTTTGTATGCAAGTCAGAAGCCCGTGATTTGGGACCTCAGCAAAAACTCATCACACAATACACTTTGTCAGGTGGTTGCAGTGATGGGAAGGGAGAAGCAATCACAAAATGACCTTTTCTACGTAGTTAGCAGGATACAGTCCAACCTGACCAGTCTGAAGCCGGCCTTTGCACCATCCCTGTTCATCCTCTTCACTGATTTTCATAAGCTCTTCTCCTGCAGAAAGACGAAACATCAGCATTAAACAAACACAGACCTCTTTCCCACTGCTCTGATAGTCACAGGAGTGTGTATGTGAGCAGGTAGACCCTCAGCCTAAGTGCATGCATGCAGAAAGCCCCAAGGAAGTCGGGTGAAGGAAATGAAGATGAAAAAGGTGGTGCAACAGACGACGCTGCAAGAATTATGTATCTAATACAGAGGTCTCCAAACTTGGCAACTTTAAGACTTGTGGACTTCTGGGAGTTGAAGTCCACAAGTCTTAAAGTTGCCAAGTTTGGGGACCCCTATCTAATCTGTCAACAACCCAAAGAAAAAGGACCTTGAGCAAAAATAAAGAAAATATAAGTAGGTGATCCTTGATCTTTTGGGGCTCTGACCCTGCCAAATGCCCACATTTCCCCCAAGTGAATCTGTCTCCAAATATGCCAGCACTTGTTTGATTCTTTTCACATAAGCAACTTAGCCATCCTCTCTCCATATTGCTTAGTTCAGGTTTTAGCCCTTATACTACCCAATGTGGGATGGCCAGGGGTTTAATGTTCTGCCATTTTATTTTCCTAGCCAGCACAAAAGTTGCTGTCACTCTATTACTAACAACTATTTCTCCTTCTTTATCAGAGCGTATCATCATGGATAGGTTCAGGGACCATACCTAATTTTGCCTACTTCCCCCTCCCACTATGTGACAGAGGCAGGTGTCTGTCCTCTCAGGTAAACCAAATGGGAAATATGACAAGATGAATGAGTTCTACTCTGTTGTAAGGCCAATGAACATAATCTTGCATGTCTGAAGGTACAAACCTCCTACCTCTGCTTTTAACTTCTTGATCC